ACCAAATTAGTTTGCAGATGAGTGTATATTCGCCAATTTCGTGCAATTTGGTTTCAAGTAGAACATAAGGTTGACGGAAACCCGGGGACTGCGCCTACCTGATGAGCCCCAAGAAGGGCGAAACCGGTCGTGGGCTGTCGACGAATTCTCAGCAACCTTATGAGTGGTACATTACAAAGATATACATGTATCGCGATATTTCAAATTTCGTAGCGACCGAAACATTAGGCGGCCTGGTGCAGCACATTCAGTTGTTCGGAGCACCTACCTGATGAGCGCCTAGAAGGGCGAAACCCGTCATGGGCTGTCGAGGAGTTTTTAGTAACCTTATGAGTAGTGCATTACAAAATAAATAAGCAGTTCCCTTTCATGTGGAACTGATTTATGATGGATGGCATTTACGTGGTTGCGTCGTCTAATCTGGTTCTTCGATATGCTTTGTGGAAGGTTGGTATTACTCTACTACTGATTTCGAAATACTACAGTTTTTAGCCAAAACTTGTGTCGGAGCAAGAGGAACCCTCAGGTCAGCAAGGATTTGTATCAGAACCGCTGCAGGCTGTCAAAAATGTTGACCAGCGCTCTCGATGAACAGTGGGAATTCCTGAGCCATAACCACTAAAAGTGAATCTGGCGTTGCTCGCTCGAGGAACATGTTCAATAACCGGATGGAAGTCCGGAAACGGTGTCCTGACTCCACTCAGTGCACGGAAAAACAACTGGGGTGGAACGCAGCAAAGAAACACGGACAACGCAGACACGGACAAGAAACACCGGGGAATGATTGCTCACAATCATATCATGGTTCACTGAGTCGATGTGAAACGACCGCAACTGATGCCCCAATCATGGAATCAGAAGAGATTCAAGAAATTTCAGTGTTGTGTCAAGCAAGGTGGACGACGATTCATCGGCATAACCAAGAATTTGGACCCACAAGTTAGCTCACACGAGCACAAACTGCCATCTTCATAAAGTCTATAGAACGAGGAATGCAAGGTGCTTTATCTGTCGTTGTACAGAACGAAACAGATTACGACTAATACTACTTAAGTGATTTCCTTAATCGCGTTCATGGTTCAGTCGAAAACGTCCCAGTTCTTTTGCGAACGCCAAGTGAACAGTTACAGACCATTGGACAGAGAAGCAAAACTCTCATATGCATTTTGTTTACAAAAACTGAATATCCATCTTCTCCTTGAACTCGTCTTCCTGGACTTTCCTGGATATTCATCGACCGTTACTCAAATGCAAGCACATGCTACAAAGTGACTCCACAAATACCGTAATAGATCTCACTTTTCAAGAGACGCAAAGCGAATTCACGAGAAAACATACTACTCGCATGCCCCATCAGTAGCACCACCGGTACACTGGTACAGGCTTCTAGTAGCTTTGGTTTAAATGGAAGGAAATCGGTGGAGTCATTCGAATGAATAGAGAACGACCTGAACAAACTACAGCCCAAGCAATTGTTTTCATCACTCCTGCTAGGCCCCATGAACTCGAAAGCGTGAACTGTTCACTGCCTTGTCCTAGAGATAATTCACCGGAACTTACCGTGTGTGCCCGTCTTAGAGCCGACCTTTTCTTACCTAACCTCTTCGTCGGAATAGGGCGCGCTGGGTTATTCTATAAACTCGGACATGCTGATTACTTAAAGGAAACACATTTCTATCGCACAGGACAGTACATTATCTTTAGTCCACAGGAGGGGAACACACCGTTCCTCGTCTGGCTGCTCCCTTTCCTGCACGAATGAACCATAGGGACTGAGTTACAGCCAGTGTAGGCCGCAGGACCATTGCAGTACTGAAGCCTGACCATCATGATCACGTGACATCAGTAGATTGTGGTCTCTGGATAATACCGTACGAAAAGCAGATTTTATCCGTAGAGCCTGCTGATTTGTTCAGACGATCCACCTTGGGAATGACTGAGCCAAAGGCTTCAAATTCATCAGATATCTATTGTGAGGAGTTAGAACAACTCAGCCGGACAAGATGTTACCTCCTTAAAAGGACACATGAAACCGGCGCAAGGGTGACAGACACACCGCTAGTTGGGAGTGAGGCTGGAGGCGAGATGACCCAAGTAGCTAGAGCGAGGGGTCCGTGGTTCAACCTCCTCTGTCTAAGCTTGGGCAACGTGGCAGTATCTCAGCCCTCGTGCTTCCTCTGGATGACATAACCGCTAGGCACAGAAAGGGTGCTACAGCTGAACGACTTTTTCAAGATTGAGGTCCCAAATAAGCAACCCGGTAGATGCCCGCTCCCTCCTTCGACCAATATCCTTCGGAGAAAAGTAATCATGCGTCCGGTCAATCTCCACAAGCACTTCACAAGAAAGTGATGGAATACAGCTGGTGAAGAGGGGGCAGCAGAGATGAGTTTACTATTGTGTGCATGTATGATCGAATAAAAAGTGAGTTCTCCTCATTCAAATCCCGACCCAATTATCCATGAATCTAGATAACCGTTATTCCACCAGGATGCGCGAACTGGATCTGTGGGTCTTGATTGCTCAGTGTGTGCTGATCTACCCCGCTTATTTTAAGAAGACATGTGCTGGGCATGTGCTACACTACTCATAAGGTTGCTGAAAACTCTTCGGCAGCTCACTACCGGTTTCGCCCTTCTTGGGGCTTATCAGGTAGGTGCCTGAAAACATCATAAACGAGAGATTCAGCTTGGTTTTAGGTGAGCCTCTCGTCAAAACCAAACTGGCATGCAAATAAGTACATTTGTCGAAGGTTTGTAGGCATGCCCCTCAAGGATTGCCAGTACTGTCTTATGTTCGGGTGGGCTTAAAAGAGGTTTTCGAATAGGGGCGTCGAAAATGTGTCATTTTTCTGGACCAGAGGTCATTTGCCAAAAAGTGACCAAGTTTGCACCGCCCTGGGTGATAATGAACACTGCTCACGCGGTCCACGCACTTGCCAAAACCATCTACGTATAGGCAGTCAGCTTTTTACTTGGAAATTGTTGCATGCTGGATCGATAGCTACTTTATTCATCTTGTATTCTGACAAGCTCACTTGCCAATATAAACGTTCGCGACTGTGTTCTGGGGCATTTTCGATATGTGCCTTTAAATTCTGAAGCTTCTAAAATTTCAGGTCAGTAGTTCACAGCCGGTGCGAGGCATATGATCAATGTAGAAACGAATGTCGTTCGTTAAGAATCAACTGACACTATTTTTGGGTCAAACTAGTCCCCTTCACGTGGGGTTCGATTATCGAATTGATCAGTAGAATTCAAAAAAGCTACCCTTTTCCGTGGAGGTGGTCTTTAAAAGCCGTGCTTTTGCAAGGTGAAGGTGAATCCAGCAATCCTTTCAGACTTATCCTACTAAACAAAAAATCATCAGCCGACACATTTAAGCAAACGAAATAGTGAGCAGATAATTTTTCACTGAGTCTGTTTACTGCACATATATGTTTACACGGCAGGAGCTATTCTATGAGTAATTTCTTTGCAAACGTGTCGTAAAAACGTAATAGATGGCTCTCTGAACCAAAAAAACAACCAATCAAGTAGGCTTGTTCCCGATATTGATCGCAATCTACAAAGCTTGCGATAATTACTATGGGTCTGATTTATAGCCTTTGAGGAGGCTATGGATACCGACATCCCTGTCCACAAGCTAAATAAGCTGACAAATTTGTGCGACGATATGTATGTGTTGCGTTTGAGTAATCATTACTCCTTGGTCACAGTACCTATGTGACTGTGGATGCTACTGGTGATGCATGCCAGTAGTATGTGGTTTTCTCGTAAATCCGTTTCGCGTCTCTTGAAAAGTGAGATTTATCACGGAATTTATGGAGTCGCGTTTGCTTGCATTTGAATAACAGTCAGTGAATATCCAGGAAAGTTCAAGAAGACGCGTTCAAGGAGATGATGGATATTCAGTTTCTTCAAACAAGATGCATATGAGAGTTTTGCTTCTCTGTCCAATAGTCTGTAACTATTCAATTGGTGTTTTCTAATAAACAACTTCGCAACAAAGGCCTTCTTTCTTTCAACAGTACTTGGCTGTTTGCGCTTTCTAAATCGCGGGGACAGAATTGATCCGAAGAGGCTGAAGTTTTAACCAGATTGTGAAACAGAACGTGATTGCACTGGTAGACAGTAGACAGTATTATAGAGCAAAAGAATGTGTTCCGCCTTACTGCGGTACTGAGACAACTTCCTTCTATAAACGGCATTTTAGTGGTGAACGAACCTATTGAAATTATCGTGCGTGCATGTCAAACTTGGATTGTGATGAATTCCCCATTTTCCTTTGTCCATCATCCTCATCGTCATCATCAAAGACAGAAACATCAGTGTTGGCACTGATGCTTCACTGCCATACAACCATAATGTCCGTCTATATATATGTATATATATATATATATATGCATAAGTACAATAAAAGCCCTAGAGCGAACAGAAGAGGAAAAGGGTGGGTGAGGAAGGGGATCTGGTGCTGGCCTATGTCAAGCATTCTGAGGTGCATGCGCNCAGACAATCTGGAAAGAAACTGACAGCACGAACGCCACTGACATCGATTAGCCGCCATTTCTTGCAACGTCTCCAGCCAAGCACAGACGGGATCACGGGGACCACATCCTGGAAGTCTCACAACACCAACAACACCCAAACTCTTCGTGATCTCTTTCACACCTTTCTGCCAAGTCATGTGCTACCCACCTCGCGGTTTGTACCATCCTGAAGGAGGCACGGAGAACAAAACTCGTCTCGGTAGGACGGTGTTTCGGCATGCGTAGCACATGACCGAGCATGGTATTCGATGATGCCCTTCCTTTGTCCAGGAACTTGAGGTGGTTTTTACATACGTCTGACGCAAAAATGGAACCTCGGAACTCACTCGTATTCTGTAAAACTAATGTGTCGAATGACGTGCGTCAAGGAACCGTGAGTATGCACGTTACGTGTATAATTCTTTGTACTACCAAGGACTCGCATTTAAGAATGTTCCAGGCGAGAGTTTTTATATGACCTGGGTCTCCAGTCACTAAGGCTGATAACAGGTCGTGGCTGTACACCGTTTTCAACTAGTGCTGTGACGGGAACTGATTGTTTTCCAGAAAAATGAATAGTATTCACTGAATTTCTTTTCGAGCAGCAAAAGTTATTGACTAAATAAGCGTCATACTTATCACTTTGTAGATGGACATAAAATCACAATGAGCGTTTTTCCGTGATGTTACGTCACAGGTTTAAACGGCGGTTATAAATCGATTGAACGATAGATAAGCTCTCGGGAGTCTACCTAATTTTTTGGGCCCGACCACTTTTCTTTGCTATTCCAAGTGTGTATTTTTACCGGGAAAAATACGGACTGGTAAGGTCTTGGAACGAGGATGCTCTTTTCAATACGCGTTTTCAATTTGTGTTTTTGGCTGGATAACATAGTCAGTTGAGATGAGGAGAAACAGACTTTTCAACTGCCTGCACCTACCATGATCAGGCCAGCACCCGACCCCTTTTACTAGAAAGTCTGTCAGGTTTTGTCCGCTTGCCTGCAAGCCCATAGTCAAGTCTGTCGCCTTCCGATACATAAGAACCTAAACCAAATTAGTTTGCAAGTGAGTGTATATTCGCTAATTTCGTGCAATTTGGTTTCAAGTAGAACATAAGGCTGACGGAAACCCGGGGACTGCGCCTACCTGATGAGCCCCAAGAAGGGCGAAACCGGTCGTGGGCTGTCGACGAATTCTCAGCAACCTTATGAGTAGTACATTACAAAGATATACATGTATCGCGATATTTCAAATTTCGTAGCGACTGAAACATTAGACGGCCTGGTGCAGCACATTCAGTTGCCTAGATACATCACAAACGAGTGATTCAGTTGGGTTTCAGATGAGTCTCTTCAAAAAAACCAAATTAGTTTGCCAATGAATGTATATTCGCTAATTTCGTGCAATTTGGTTTCAAGTAGAACATAAGGTTGACAGAAACCCGGGGACTGCGCCTACCTGATGATCCTCAAAAAGGGCGAAACCGGTCGTGGGTTGTCGACGGATTTTCAGCAACCCTATGAGTAGTACATTACAAGGATATACCTTCCCCTGTTTAGCCCCACGAAAATCAATAAAACAGACACAGTGGGTAGACAAATGCTCCCGTTTGCACACGAATTTAGTTTTGATAGGCGACACGACTAAAATCCAGCTGAAACTCCCGTTTATAATTGTCCGTTGAAAATTCTGTCGAAGTAGGCCATTATAAACGGAAGATTTAGCGTGTGCAAATGAAGGTAGACGTCGGAATATGGGTTGACGGAAACCAGAGGACTGCGCCCACCTGATGAGCCAGAATGGGGAGGGCGAAACCGGTATCGAATGGTCTTCGTGTCACGTTTAGAACGCGGCACGTTCGTCTAGTTCGAATGAAACCACCTACCTCTCTCTCATGAGGTGGACTGGACTTATTTTTTGCGAAATCACAATGAGAGCGATTGTGTTAACCCAAATTGAACAGAATGGGGTTGGAAATTGAAAGTAAAATGCGCAGACCAATAATAGACACCAAAAAGGGGCAATTCAGCGAGTTTCGGCTGTAATAAAAAGAAGATCTCTGTCGTTATCTTTGCATTTACCTAAACGTTAATCGATTGCCTAGGACGTACGATAATTTTCCCCCAGAACCAGAATATGCCCTGGAGGAATGACACAACGTCCAACCCACGTGGTGTTTTCTCATGCGAGAGACAAGCAACACGGATATTTTTGGCACCTGATTAATGTAAATTCAGTTGCTTGACAGAGTTTTTTACTTCAACTGTGGTGTAGGCTGTAAACAACATTGCAGAAGTGTGACGAAAGTCAGTAGAGTAACAACAGAATCGAGAAGTTCGGAAGAACGTGCCGGTATCACCAAATGATGGATCAGCAGTTTCACCGTTTTATGAGGGTGTCAGTTGTTTGGTAAATACGGTCCTGTCTGGTTTGGGATGACTCAAACGCACGGGGTTCTTAACTGAAGAAGTAGGAAGTCACAGCATTGACTACTCACCTCATAGACAATAACGTTCGCGTTGACACATGCTTGATTATCACCCACGCACTAGCCGTCAACGCTAAAAAAGGTTGTCGACAATGACGTGTGTGTGTATCTTATACGGAATATAATATTCAGCAGATTAATGGTGAAATCGCACTATTAACCGGAAGGCTGGGTCCCCGGTTATCGAGGAATAGATACGGGCAGAAGAGCATGAGTGGCGGAACGTAGACCACACTGCATCCTTTGAGCAGCAATTCAGCTGGCTCCAAGGCTTGGCTCGTCTATTCCAGTGACGAGACACTTCTGACAAGGGTATTACCAGATAGATCTGGATGGTACATTTTATATGTTGGATAAGCCAAACCTAATGATCAACATGGGTCTCACCAGTTGAACTACTTTTAGAGGAAATCAATTTGGTTTCCACGACAGATTCAACTGAATCACTCGTTTATGATATCCTAAAACTGAATGTGCTGCATACAAGCCGCCTCATTACATAAGGAAACTCGGGGACTGCGCCTACCTGATGAGTCCTTATGAGCTCCAAGAAGGGCGAAACCGGTCGTAGGCTGTCGAAGAGTTTCCAGCAAACTTGTGAATAGTTTCGTTTATGAAAATTTACTGCGATATCTCGGATATCGTGCCAACTGAATCATGAGGCGGCCTGTGTGCAGCACATCCAGGTGGAGGATATCATAAACGAGAGATTCCGTTGAGTCTCTCGTGAAGACCAAATTGATTCGCAACTGAGTGTATTTCTCCGTCCTGTCTAGTTTGGCGACTTGTTTCAGAGAGGAAAACGGCTGTTTTCAAGAATTAAAAGTGCCTGTGTAACGGAAGGCGATTCTGCGCCCAAAAAACCTATTCTCTCTAAAAGATGTTTTCGTTTTGGACGGCCAGACTGGAGTCGTTCTTCTCGCTGGGTTCCAACAACTCAGATCTTGGTGATATTACATACGCATACTATATTGCGTCGAATACCCCGGGAAATCGTCAGAAGAGTGCAAGTGAGATAGTAACTTACGACGTGAGTTTCTTTTCTGTTTTGTTACGACGGGCATGAGGAGAAAACGCTAAAGAGAACGTCCTGCTTTCGAGTGTTTTCAAGTTAGTAAAGCGTGAAAAGAAAGCAAAGCAAAAACAAGGTGCCTATATCTCGTTTAAGACCAATCGATTAAAAAAACTGTGACCGACAGTGATCCACCATTTTTGCTAACCTCACCAACGCTGGACAAGTGATAGCTAGTTAGTTTGAATATGAGGTGCCAGAAAGCTTACTGCCGGAATCGGTTGTGCGGCGTCACCTGCGGGGTTCCATCTAGGGAGGTGTAAAGATCCCGTACGCTCAATTTGGCATTCATTTCGTATAACCGGTTCTTGTACTGCCCTTTCATTAGAAACAATCAACAGTGGACAGCAAAGCCTTCTTTCATGGACGGTTGTATGTCACGAGCAGTACGTCGCCTTCAAACTTGCGAGATTTGTCTACTGCCTAATCGATTCTGACGGAGTACCAAGATCTCACATACGGATCACCTCATTGTGGACCACTTCCAGCCAACAGACGCCTGCTATGCTGCGAAGAAATCGGTGTTACAGAAGTTGGGGACCTTCGAATGGATCAGAGTGAGTAAGACCGTTCCCACAATTGTCTTGTAGACATCCACTGTGAGCACTAAAGCGATTAGAAGCGGGATATCCCTCAATCACCTGGTAGAAAAGCCTACTTATCCGGAGGGTTGAAGACTTTTAAAATCGGGGAAAATCATGGCTGAAGATTAGTGATGTGTACAAAGTTGCTCAAGAGGCATAAAGGCAGATGTATGATATTCTCGTGGATTTTACACGGTCCTTCGCAAATGAGAAAAATTGAATGTCTCAGCCATATTAAATTTACGCGAAATCATGTTCAGAAGCTGCATATCGGTCATGGTCCTTGCATTTTCTGGGTATGTAACAGTTTCAATCGCTCACCTCGCTTAGTTGTACTGGTATTTCGCAATAAATTTAATTGTCTTTGAGTGAGTTCAGAAACAATGGATTCTGTTAACACCAAATCAAAGGTTATTAGCTGAGACAAAAAGGGCTATTCCAGTGACAATTTGTGCACTCCTTGATAGTTAGTATTAGTTGTCTCTCCCACAAGCGAAACCGAAAGACCCTGTGTATTTGGCGTATTTGGTAAAACTTGGGTTCAAAGAGATAAGGTTGGCGGAAACTCTGGGACTGCGCCTACCCGATGAGCCCGAGTGAAACCGGTAGAGTGCTGTCGAAGAGGTTCCAGAAACCAACAATAAAAAGATGCATATTTCTTCCTTTTCAGATGCAAGCTACCTTAAGCGGCAATCAACAAGTGCACATTTCTGCTAGCTGGATAATGGTTTGTGATGAATACGTTAAATATGGAACATATATGTGCAGAAAGAACGTCCAATCTGTAACCGAAAACAGTTAGTTCTGCGCCCATTCAGTCGACAGCGTTCATTCGACTTTAATGTGAACATCTACACCTACTCGCTTGACAAAAGAATAGTTTATCTGCTAGACTGTTCGTGGCAAAGGAACACTAATCACAAGGTCACTATAAACTCTTGGACAGCTCACGACCACTTTCGCCCTCATTAGGTAGGCGTAGTGTTTGGGTTTTTCTCAAAGCACAGCGGTGTTTTGGTTTTGCTTCGTCACTCTTACCGGATAGTCACTAAACGTTTTTTCTAGCAGTCCTAATGTCGACGTGTTGGACTACGTGCCAAGTACTTTAGGGAAACCTAAGCACATGATCTGCTCACGTGGTTCTGAGTCATTTGATAAACAGTTGTAGATGGTTGTGGGATTGGTAGAATTCGAGTTCACATCACTCTCGTTTGAACAATCGTCCTCCTGTCCCGGTGCAATTACTGTGGTGAATCCGCATCAAAGCGGAGAAGAACTGCATTCGAGTTTTGCTCTTATTAGAGCTCAACAGCAGTGCATGTCCTTGACCGTATTGGGGTTCGAACTCTGGTCACGTGGTATGCGAAGAGAGCGTTTTACCACCAGTGCACGCTAGATTGCTTTATCCGACATCTCAAACTGTGACTCAGTAAATGTCCTGTAGGTCGACTGACTCTACGGACGCCTGCTAGACAGTTTTCGATTAATGCTGTTTGTAGTTGATTTTTTATTTAGTAATCACTCAGGAGTATAACCATTCTATACATAGACTATCTTACCACTGGGCTGTCTCGCTAATCACGCTCATGGATCTGACTCCATTAATCAATGGAGCGAGAAAATTAGCAGAGATGAAAGCATCTGTAAAGAAGGGATTAGAAGACTTTTTGTTGTAAAGAACCATAGCTCCATCCCAACTGCAAAGTAGCCTTGATTGGGGATCAAGAGGTTTGTGGCAAACTGCCAAGTCGCGTCAAACTGTTTAATTACCCGGGTGACTGTCTCGAACATCGTTGTCTCATCTGTGGTGAAACACGTGATTTCTCCCCACAAAACAGGAGCAGTCCCACTGCACTAAAGAATGTGACTTGGAGAAAATGACTGATACTCACTCAGTTGCAGAAAACACCAGCAATACTCGGAAAAACTTGATTGCTGTTCCCTCTAAATCATCTAATCCGGCTGGCGACTGGGACTTTCCAGGTATGTTTGGCTGTATACCAACCTGAGTGGTATACATCAGTCGATACTTGCAGCTAGAAGGGCATTTAAGAGAGCTTAGGTAGTTGGGGTAACCCGTCTTACGTTTTCCATCCTTCCCAGCTTCAAACCAGAATAAGCACAGCGACGGATCACAGACTGGATGTAGGGAACTGCGCACTGAAGGCAGTAGCTGATGTGCAGATCTGGACTGAAGCATGTTCCATGGGTCCAAAAGTCAGTGGGATAATCAAAACGTATGATACGACATCACAGTCGGACAAATTAGGCCTTGCCGGCCAACTCTCATAACCATCGACATGTTCTCTGTACAAACAACCACAAGCTGCTTGTGCAAGCAAGTTTACGAGTGACGGTATTCTTATCGTAGACTGACCTCCCCTCTAAACCGTTCTTGCCCTGACATGCAGTAGTCTGACATTCGAAACGCGTGCCCGAGTTAGTCCAAGCAAGCTGTAGTAACGGTATTTCCTCAGCTTNNNGGCCAACTCTCATAACCATCGACATGTTCTCTGTACAAACAACCACAAGCTGCTTGTGCAAGCAAGTTTACGAGTGACGGTATTCTTATCGTAGACTGACCTCCCCTCTAAACCGTTCTTGCCCTGACATGCAGTAGTCTGACATTCGAAACGCGTGCCCGAGTTAGTCCAAGCAAGCTGTAGTAACGGTATTTTCCTCAGCTTAGTTCTCCGTCAGAGCCCCCCAAGCTGGCGTTTACGTCAAAAACAACCACCAAAGGTGCACAAGGTCTATTAATGCCCAAAACGAAGTCAGGAACAGTTGTACAGCGCTTCGTATATATAGCGTAGGCAGTTACAACTTTCTGGAATTTCTGACGCATTCTGGATGCGCTATTGGCAACCGGCATTTGGCCAATACTGGGTCATGATTGGCTGTTGGGTCCAGTTTCTCGACCAATCAGACCTCGTCTTGATGCCGGACCGGTAAGCGTCCCGAATTCTTGGCCACTCTCGTGCGGACTAGGCTTATCGGCCGTAGTAGCGCTTGAAGACGTTCAGTATAGCGGGATCCGTGTGGACTCCTGCCTAACACAAGCTATGAAGAGATATCGGCTCGTCTATCGCACGTCAATCCGTTTCGCAAAACACCTAAGCATTACTAACCCAAAGTTGTACGCACCATCGGGTTCTTTCTTTTATCATAGGTTCCGATTGGTAGATTATTGGCTTTTATTGGCATGCCTGCGCAACAAACAGGAGTGTGTTTTCCATGTTTAAAAGTTGCTCCGCAATCAGACACTGGTAACCAATCAAATCACTCAACTTTGTCTGTGAAAGTCGCAAAAATCCTCAAGGGCGCAGCCATTATGCCCATTACAACGGAAGCTGAAAGCCCTACCTTCTAGGGAACACTTAACACAGACCCGGTATTCCCAATTCGATACCTGTCTTCTGAGCGTAGTTACTGAATGCCTTGTCATGTGACTGGAATAAATGCTCCGGGTACTCACCAGGTTCGCAAATGCGCACCTAATTCACGTTGAAGAATCAACGAAACATGACAGTATAAAGAGCATCCACTCCACAAATGCTACATAACATAATCAAACACTTTTTATCGTAAAAAACAAAACGGTTGCTCATTGGAACTAGGTGTGTTTGTAAAGCTTTTTTCAATCCATCTGAGCATTGTAATTTCCAGGTGTTTCTGGTTGATGTAGTGAGTGGAGTTTAAAAAACCGATATCCGAAGGTGCTGAACCTACCTACGTACCCAGGCTATGGGCATTTGACATGGATGGTCATAACAGCTAAAACGCCTGACGACAAACATATCACCTCGCTAAAGAACTAATTAAATTGGACACGCTTTCTGGTAATGGCTGTTTTTGATAGAATGTCAGACCTAACATTGTGTGAAACACTGTGCCCGGCAACACATCCCATCATTTCTTCTTACCGGTCTGTGTTGCACGGATTGCGGCCCATTGATGCGTTTTATTGGGACGCTGGTCCGAGGAAATTAGCTCAACGAATCTGTTTCGGTTTAAAAACTAGGCGACAGTCCTCCTGCTTGAGTAGACTTTCCTAGATGCCTTTCAAGAGAGTGTACCCCCAAAAACAGAGCAAAGGGGTCTGATTTCCCTTCACTGAATGGGATAGACGTCCTCCCAAGCGAGGGGCTTCAGATAAGACAGCAATATGGTTACTGAAAAGTTCATTTTGAGCGCATGTCATCCTAAACATTGAAACGTAGCCTCGGCCGCACGGCCATCTATTTAGTAACCGCTCACAGTCGAACTAATGCGCGAATTCACACTGTAGTATGACATCGCACGCTCAAAAGTGCATGAAAGAAACAGCATTATGGGCTGTCCCAAGAAAGAGAGGGCGCTTTGAGAAGTTTGACCTTATTGACCTTCATGGGGCACAAAAATACCCAAGGTACTGATGGGAAGCATTTCAGAATCCTTGCAGGTTTTATGTAGGTCTGCTTCGGATGAGCTGCTGCGCCCGACTTCGGGACGATTGAAGGGAAATTGACCGCGGAAAAATGTGCGACAAAGACGCTGTGTTTTCTCTTTTCCTTTGTTCTCCGAATGTTTTGTCTCACACGCAAGTGTCGTCGGATTCACTCAAGACATGAACTGATGATAATGAGGTTAGATTGTTATTCTGTCAGGATACAGCTTTATTTACAGAAGAATGGCAGAACCACCAATTGTCGTGTCTTGGTTTGCATCACTTGATGCCTAATTCAGCTCCCAAGAGAGAAGATGACTTTAGCCGTATCCAAAGTTGGGCATCGTCCACCGGTCGCACTCTTGGTAGCCACCACCACGGAAAAACGTGGTGTATTTGACCAAAGATAACCATTCACATGACAACAGAATTTTGTAACCAAGCCAGGGGTTCTCAAGGTGAGTTGGGTGCACTTTAATAGTCCCCTCTTGGTGCCACGGTTAGACTGGACAACCATGAGAATGTTATCTCAATTCTTCCGCCGGGCACGGTTTGAATCTCTTCCTACCTACTCTTCTAAGAGGCAGTAGTTGTTAAGGGAACCATTAGTTGAGCACGGAATATTTCCGCACGTCAACCCCTTCCATCGGATCTAAAAAAACAGACACTATGGTTCCAAAAGTGGCTGGTTAATAGCCAAGAGGAGAACACCAAAAACAAAACTGCCCGAATCTGAAACCAAGATTTATCAGTTTACTTTACGCCTGGCCACCTGATCAGTGGGGGGAAACGGTTATCGAGAGGAAATTTTTTAAGTCATCTGTTCCAGAGGGGGCAATGACTTTTGGATCGAATGTTGCATTTAGGACTTTCTGACATCTCGCTTAAGTTAAACTAGACGTTAAGAACAACAAGGTTCATTTCGCCCCACTCCGTTTCGCCTGAAAATTTGTAGAACAGTGATAGATACCTAATACACTGCAGCTTACAAGCCTTCTGTAATTGGGCGCGTCTCAGAGTGATCCTCCAATACTTCTGAGCACAGTAGACAGGTTTGAAACGATAAATCGCTGTGTCCTCAGTTGATTTCGGTCTCTGTGGCCGTCCCCCTTGCGTCAGGATGGGGAACCATGCGTCTTGTGTTGACTAAACGCCTGACAACTGGTGATTTGAGCTTGGATCCGAACGGCAATGAGTTGCGACGATTAGCTGATGTGGCATCCTCCTTAGTCCCCGTTTGAAACTTCTTTCAGTCCGATCGATATATATATATACATAATCATAAACGGAATAGGCCATATACAACGCAGGCGGAGATATTTTGATGGCTGCAGTGGCGTGGACCATGCATACGATGTCTAGAATCCGTTCATATCGATACTGTAAGTATCGCGTTCGGTTCAGGAGTGCTTTCAAATGACGGGGTCAGAGTAGCTATTCGGCCGCAGTACATCTGTGAGCAGTTCCAATTCCTCTACGAGTAATTCAGAGGTGCAGCTCTTTGAACTGACGTATGTGTTTAACCTGAAAAATATTGTCAAGCTGACGTAGGCTTCCGATATACAGAGCGGGACGGTCGGAAGTTTTACCCATGAGAAAGTCTGAAATGGAACGTTCGATTGTCTCACTCAGATTCAGAGTTTGACTAAAGTGTCCTAATGGACCATATTAAAAGAAGCAAGCAGGTGTTCCGTCTGACTTCCGCCTTTCGCGAGGAGTAAAATATCATCTGGGCGAAGAAAATGAACCCTTTACGAATAGGGATGGAAAATTCGACAAAATGTGGTTGAGACCCCAGATAATCACTCAAAAGTCTCCAGGTTTCATCCGGGAAGCGTTATTAAACTGCGGCTGTAATTTAGGTGAAGATATGAGATTCCAAGACACATCAGTTTGTTCATGTGGACTTTTCAAATGGTGTTTTGCGAGAGTTGTTCTGGAGGGTCTAAAGGCATCTACCGGCCAGTAATCTCATTTATGAACCATTCAAAACTACAAATCGATAACAAGTATATCGATATTTGGAACTCCGCAGCTGTGATTTATGAAAGCACAGTAAACTCTTAAAGGAAACTACTCACAAGGTAGCTGAAATATCTTCGACAGCCCACGACCGATTTCACCCTCTTTGGGGCTCATCAGGTAGGCACAGTCCCCGAGTTTCCGTCAATATCATGTTCTACCTGAACCCAGATTGGACTGTTATCGAGAAATACACTCATTTGCAAATCAATTTGGTTTTCACGAGAGACTCAACTGAATC